AGATACATTAATTTAACTGCTACAAACGGTTTCCAGTTCCCATACTCCACACTGCTCACCTTACTAATTCCTTCACCACTTCATACGTCTCGGACCTTTTCTCTCCCTTCCCATAGAATTTTATGATTGCAGATACCTTAATCTAATTGTCATAAACAGTTCCTATACTCCGGACATCTAGCCTTGACTACTTCCTTCATCACTTCCTACGTCGCGGACCCGTTATCCTCCCTTCCCATAGCATTTTATGATTGCAGATATCTTCATCTAATCGTCATTAACAGTTCCCACACTCCGGACTGCTCGCCTTTACTACTTCCTTCACCACTTCCTACGTGACGGACCTGTTTCCCTCCCTTCCCATAGCATTTTATGATTGCAGATACCTTAATCTAATCGTCATAAACAGTTCCAACACTCGAGACTTCTCGCCTTTTCTACTTCCTTCGCCACTTCCTACGCCACGGACCTGTTTCCCTCCCTTTCCGTAGCATTTTATGATTGCAGATACCTTAATCTAATCGTTATAAACAGTTCCCACACTCCGGACAGCTTGCCTTGACTACTTCCTTCATCACTTCCTACGTCGCGGACCCGTTATCCTCCCTTCCCATAGCATTTTATGATTTCAGATATCTTCATCTAATCGTCATAAACAGTTCCCATACTCCGGACTCCTCGCCTTTACTACATCCTTCACCACTTCCTACGTGACGGACCTGTTTCCCTCCCTTCCCATAGCATCATAGGATTGCAAATACCTTAATATAATGGTCATAAGCAGTTCCCACACTCCGGACAGCTTGCCTTGACTACTTCCTTCATCACTTCCTACGTCGCGGACCCGTTTTGCTCCCTTCCCATAGCATTTTATGATTGCAGATACCTCAATCTAATTGTCGTAAACAGTTCCTACACTCCGGACAGATTGCCTTGACTACTTCCTTCATCACTTCCTACGTCGCGGACCCGTTACTCTCCCTTCCCATAGCATTTTATGATTGCAGATATCTTCATCTAATCGTCATAAACAGTTCCTACACTCCGGACTCCTCGCCTTTACTACATCCTTCACCACTTCCCACGTGACGGACCTGTTTCCCTCCCTTCCCATAGCATCATAGGATTGCAGATACCTTAATATAATGGTCATAAGCAGTTCCCACCCTCCGGACAGCTTGCCTTGACTACTTCCTTCATCACTTCCTACGTCGCGGACCCGTTTTCCTCCCTTTCCATAGCATTTTATGATTGCAGATACCTTAATCTAATCGTCATAAACAGTTCCAACAATCCGGACTGCTCGCCTTTACTACTTCCTTCGCCACTTCCTACGTGACGGACCTGGTTCCCTCCCTTTCCGTAGCATTTTATGATTGCAGATACCTTAATCTAATCGTTATAAACAGTTCCCACACTCCGGACAGCTTGCCTTGACTACTTCCTTCATCACTTCCTACGTCGCGGACCCGTTATCCTCCTTTCCCATAGCATTTTATGATTTCAGATATCTTCATCTAATCGTCATAAACAGTTCCCATACTCCGAACTCCTCGCCTTTACTACATCCTTCAACACTTCCTACGTGACGGACCTGTTTCCCTCCCTTCCCATAGCATCATAGGATTGCAAATACCTTAATATAATGGTTATAAGCAGTTCCCACACTCGGAAGAGCTTGCCTTGACTACTTCCTTCATCACTTCCTACGTCGCGGACCCGTTTTGCTCCCTTCCCATAGCATTTTTACTTCCTTCGCCACTTCCTACGCCACGGAACTGTTTCCCTCCCTTTCCATAGAACTTTATGATTGCAGATACCTCAATCTAATTGTCGTAAACAGTTCCTACACTCCGGACAGCTTGCCTTGACTACTTCCTTCATCACTTCCTACGTCGCGGACCCGTTTTGCTCCCTTCCCATAGCATTTTATGATTGCAGATACCTCAATCTAATTGTTGAAACAGTTCCTACACTCCGGACAGATTGCCTTGACTACTTCCTTCATCACTTCCTACGTCGCGGACCCGTTATTCTCCCTTCCTATAGCATTTTATGATTGCAGATATCTTCATCTAATCGTCATAAACAGTTCCTACACTCCGGACTCCTCGCCTTTACTACATCCTTCACCACTTCCCACGTGACGGACCTGTTTCCCTCCCTTGCCATAGCATCATAGGATTGCAGATACCTTAATATAATGGTCATAAGCAGTTCCCACACTCCGGACAGCTTGCCTTGACTACTTCCTTCATAACTTCCTACGTCGCGGACCCGTGTTCCTCCCTTTCCATAGCATTTTATGATTGCAGATACCTTAATCTAATCGTCATAAACAGTTCCAACAATCCGGACTGCTCGCCTTTACTACTTCCTTCGCCACTTCCTACGCCACGGTCCTGGTTCCCTCCCTTTCCGTAGCATTTTATGATTGCAGATACCTTAATCTAATCGTTATAAACAGTTCCCACACTCCGGACAGCTTGCCTTGGCTACTTCCTTCATCACTTCCTACGTCGCGGACCCGTTATCCTCCCTTCCCATAGCATTTTATGATTTCAGATATCTTCATCTAATCGTCATAAACAGTTCCCATACTCCGAACTCCTCGCCTTTACTACATCCTTCACCACTTCCTACGTGACGGACCTGTTTCCCTCCCTTCCCATAGCATCATAGGATTGCAAATACCTTAATATAATGGTTATAAGCAGTTCCCACACTCGGAAGAGCTTGCCTTGACTACTTCCTTCATCACTTCCTACGTCGCGGACCCGTTTTGCTCCCTTCCCATAGCATTTTTACTTCCTTCGCCACTTCCTACGCCACGGAACTGTTTCCCTCCCTTTCCATAGAACTTTATGATTGCAGATACCTCAATCTAATTGTCGTAAACAGTTCCTACACTCCGGACAGCTTGCCTTGACTACTTCCTTCATCACTTCCTACGTCGTGGACCCGTTATCCTTACTTCCCATAGCATTTTAGGATTGCAGATATCTTCATCTAATCATCATAAAGAGTTCCCACACTCCGGACTGCTCGCATTTACTACTTCCTTCACCACTTCCTACGTGACGGACATGTTTCCCTCCCTTCCCATAGCATCATAGGATTGCAAATACCTTAATATAATGGTCATAAGCAGTTCCCACACTCCGGACAGCTTGCCTTGACTACTTCCTTCATCACTTCCTACGTCGCGGACCCGTTTTGCTCCCTTCCCATAGCATTTTATGATAGCAAATACCTTAATCTAATCGTCATAAACAGTTCCAACACTCCGGACTGCTCGCCTTACTACTTCCTTCGCCACTTCCTACGCCACGGACCTGTTTCTCTCCCTTCCCATAGCATCATAGGATTGCAAATACCTTAATATAATGGTCATAAGCAGTTCCCACACTCCAGACAGCTTGCCTTGACTACTCCCTTTATCACTTCCTACGTCGCGGACCCGTTTTCCTATCTTCCTTTATAATTTTTGGAATGCAGATACCTTAAATCTAATCTTCATAAACAGTTTCCACACTCCAGACTTTTCACCTTTAGTACTTTCTTTAACACTTCCTACGTCACGGACCTCAAGCTAGTGTCGTCATTTGATTATTTTATGATCCATACCACCGTTTATGTTCTAATATCTGTGGAATAATGCTAGCAGCTATTTATTTATCTACTGCATTCAAAAGTCAACAGCTGATCATATGTCTTTGTTTATGTGTCAAATACTGCTTCCATAAGGATTACATTGAAACTTTGAGACCCAGTGGGGCGGATTCCTGAGAGTTATTTTTAACGCCATATAGATGTTGGCACTCACCGATATGGTCTTTATCACCATCCAAAATTTGAAAACGATTGATTCAGCCGTCTAGGAGGAGTTTGCGTATTACGAAATGCATAAAAGTCGACGTATAAGAGCTTCGCTCGCTTCGCTCGCTCCGCTCAATTAGTATACGATTCAGGCTAGTGTCGTCATTTGATTACCTATATTATTTATGATCCATACCGTTTCTGTTCTAATATCAGTGGAATAATGCTATCAGCTATTTCTTGATCTACAGCATTCAAAAGTCAAGAGCTGATCTTATGCCTGTTGTTTATGTGTCAAATACTGCTTCCATGAGGATTACATTGAAACTTTGAGGGCCCGTGGGGCGGATTCCTAAGAGATTTGTTTGACGCTATATAGATGTTGGCACTCACCGATATGGTCTTTGTCACCATCATAGATCTCTATTATATAGAGATCTATGGTCACCATGCAAAATTGGAAAACGATTGCTTCAGCCGTCTAGGAGGAGTATGCGTATTACGAAATGTATAAGAGTCGACGAATAAGAGCTTCGCTCGCTCGGCTCAATAACTTTTAATGCTTTTGTATATCATAGAACCAAATTTTAGTTGAAACAGCTGACTAAATTCTTAAATTTCCTTTAAATATGAAAACTCATAAGTATAACGTGTTGGTTAGTCTATGGTATAACATAGGGAACTACAGAGCTACTCGGGCGGAGCCCGAAAGGATTTTTGAGATAAGAATATGCCTATATGTTAATCGGGAATGTGAGCTATCATCATGCCAAATTTCAGCCCAATCCGTCCAGTGGTTTATGCGTAATTGAACTTCAAACAAACACACAAACTTGCCCATTAAATATTAGTAAGATTAAGAAAACAAAAGCACTCCTGAATAATAGTATGGTTGCATGCTATTTTCTAATTAATTTTATTTACCGTGTCTTACCCCAGATTTTTGTGATTGTCCTCCCTCGGTTCTCTTCTTTTTCTCAGGACAGGAGAATAGTTCTCACTCAATCATTGGCTGTTTGATTCTCGAAATTTGAAATTATGTACAACGGCTGCATAGCAAAGCTCAAGACTGCCAGTTTGCAAACTACAAAAACAGTATTGAATTTTATTTACAGTTTGACTTCAATTGCATTGCAATTGCAAATTAAACTCAAAAACATTATAGGTTAGGGTCTGGTCGGGTCAATGGAAGTTTTGTTTATAAAGTTGTTTGTAAGGTAAACTTTTTTTTATTGGTGCGTTTTAACGTTTTAAGTATAAAAATAAATCAGAAATATAATGGAACTCCTGACTGATCAAGGCTTAAGGTTTGATGGGAGGAGAGCAAATGAATTAAGAAAGATCAGGTGTAAATTAGGTGTGTTTGATCAACCAGATGGCAGTGCTTACCTAGAGCAAGGAAATACCAAAGTTTTGGCTGCTGTTTATGGACCACATCAGGTAAATTTAATTTTGGGTAGGCCTACAGTTTCTTAGCTGGGATATCTAAATATATAAAAGGCAAAGCCCTCACTGACTCACTCACTCATTCATCACTAAATTCAGCTGCACTTTACTTGACGTCCTACACTCATTCGATTGGTTTGTTCGATTCGATATTTTCATTCGATTCTTTCATTCGATATATCGTTTGGTTAGTTAGGTTAGGTTAACCTTACCTAACTAACCAAACGATACATCGAATGAAGCAATCGATTAATCGATATATCGATCGATATTTTCATTCGAATGAGTGTAGGACGTCAAGTAAAGTGCAGCCCTAAATTCTCCCACTTCCCATTTACCTAGGAGGCTGAAATTCGGTACACCGATTCTTTGGGCATTAAATAGGAAAACTAAGTAGTTTTTTTTCTGATCGGGCTTTCAGGCTCCGCTCCAGTGGCTCTGGAGTTTCCCATGTTAGCCTTATGATTTTTCATATTTAGAAGGAATTAATGAATCTTAACAGCTGTTTCAATTAAACAAGTTGGTTCTGTTCTATGATGTTCAATAGCATTAAAGTTACAAGGATTATCAACAGGATGCAGCACTATTATTTAAAAAAAATTATGACAACAACTAATTTGCAACCAAAAGGTGAGTGAGCGTAGCGAAAGAACTTCAAACTGGAGGCGAGTTAGCGTAGCGAATGAGCTAACCCGGAGGCTAGTGAGCGCAGCGAACGAACTTCAACCAGGACGTGATTGAGCCATGGGGCAAAGCCTGTGGGTACAGCTAGTGCTAATATAGATTTAAACTAGGTAAGTTACTGGGTTTGTTTCTCTAGTCGACCTACATGACAAACGTAAAGCATGGTAGGCTATCTTTGTAAACGTCTTTAATTTAGGCTACAGCAATTTTAGCAAACATTGTGCAAGACTGTAAGTTACATGAAACTGCTCTGTTTTAATGTTTAATGTTAAATTTTTAATCGTAAAATAAAATGCTTTTAGAAATAAGTAGGCCTAAGTTAAGTTAATATTAAATGGGCTGATTTTGATGTTAAGTTTTACCTTGGAACAGTAAAAACATCATTAAAGTTAGGCTACTTAACTTAACATTTTACTAATGTGGTTTAAGTAAGTTGAAGAATTCATGGGCCAAGGTGTAAAGTTAGAGTTTTGATGATAAATTCTCAGGCCTAAGTTATTGTGTTTGTTGATACAAAAGTAGTCTAAAAATAACCTACATTCAGGGTCAGCAATTTCAAATTTACAATCAATTGTCAACAGGTGCGTGGCAAAGGCCAGAAAGCAATTCATGATGCAGTGCTTGTCAATTGTCAATACAGTATGGCAACATTCAGCACAGGAGAGAGGAAAAGACGCCCGCGAGGTGATCGCAAGTCTCAAGAAATGACGATGCACCTGAAACAGGCCCTAACAGCTGCAATTAGGACTGAACTTTACCCAAGGTCGCAGATTGATATTTTCCTGGAGGTAAAGGTTTTTAATTTGCCATATTTTTTACTACTATAGGCTACAGTTCCTGTGTACGTTTACTTTTGTGATTTTCTAATTTTGGCAAGGTAAGTTACGTGTACCAATTTTGTTTTGCACCGTCTGAGGAGGGGATCAGATTCCAGATCAAAACATTGTCATAAGCCCTCAATTGGTTTTTGTTAGGCTATGTAAAATGTCCACAGTAATCTCTCAAATGAAATAACTAACATCAGAGATCAAAATCGTTAACTGATAATAAACTCTTATTTTATTAGGCTACGGAAATAGTACGGTACTTATAACACTTTTAACTGCTGTAGGTGCTCCAAGCAGACGGAGGTAACTACTGTGCTTGTGTCAATGCTGCCACCCTGGCACTGATAGACGCAGGGATACCAATCCGAGAGTATGTTGTGGCCTGCACTGCGTCCCTTGCCAACGGTGACGTGCCGATGGTAGACATCAGCCACCTAGAGGAGACCTCTGGCGGCTCAAACCTGACAGTAGCAGCTCTTCCAATATCAGGCCAGGTGATATTTCTATTTCTTTTCTGAATTTAGTATCCACATCAGTAGAAATTGATTTATGTTGCCACTAGAAACGCACCAAACACTTAAACCGCCATTAAGCCTTGCTCTAACTGCAGTTAGCTCTTAACTGACGTAATCGGATTCCACCACTCGCCATTAGAGCTAGTTTAGACTAAATCGTCCTTTTTTTTCTTTTACTACCTCATAAACACCGATTTATTTTCTAGGTTATGTTTACTTTTCGCATAACAGTCCGCTATTATGACAGTTTACTGCCACCGCCACCTGGATTTTACTCTAAACTCTCGTTTTTAAAACCAGTGTTAGTTTTGACGCGTTTTTGTTGGTGAAACCAGATTTCCTTAACTGTGGTTTAAATCATCAGTTAGTTTTAACCGAAGATTAACTAAGCCATCGTTAGCGTGAATTTGGTGAAATCGGGCCTTAGTTTCCAAACTATAATTTGACTACTGAGCCATGACTAAACCACAAAGATATAATAAATTTGCATGAATAATTAGGAAAAATATCTACATACCTACGGTATACAGGGTGGCTGAAAAGTAACTACCACCCCCCCTTAACTTTTCAACCATTTGAGATATTTGAAATCCGTTTGCATCAAACTTCTAAGATGTGAGGGGCTACAATAGTTATGGTAAATTTTAAAAATTTTACCCTTAGGGGTAGCGGGGGTAGGGGGTAGCTCAAAATTTTCAAATGGCAAGTATAGTCGAGTTTGGTATCATTTTATAGGTCTTGACGAAACAAAACAATCGACGTAAAGAAAACTAAAATCGGCCCACTAATAACAAAATGGCGCTCTAAAACAATTTAAATCTACAGAACCATGAGGAGGGCTGAAAAGTAACTTGCACCCCCCCCCCCCTTAACTTTTCAACCATTTGAGATATTTGAAATCTGTTTGCGGCAAACTTCTAAGATGTGAGGGGCTACAATAGTTATGGTAAATTTTGAAAATTTTACCCTTAGGGGTAGCGGGGGTAGGGGGTAGCTCAAAATTTTCAAATAGCAAGTATAGTCGAGTTTGGTATCGTTTTATAGGTCTTGACAAAACAAAACAAACGACGTAAAGAAAACTAAAATCGGCCCACTAATAACAAAATGGCGCCCTAAAACAATTCAAATCCAATCATCCATGATAATGAAAATTTTCGTTAAAAAGTCTTTTAAGAAATGGTAGAAAAAATTACCTTTTATTTGATGAGATGCTCGAATTGCTTTCCCTGTACCTCCATGCAGTAGTACAATCTCTGTTGAAACATGTTCCTTACATTTTGGAAAGTTTGATTGTTTATTTTTCTGCATTCTGTTTCTATCCGTAGTCTTAATTCTTCGAGGGACCTTGGCTGTGAGGTATAAACCGTTGACTTTAAATGGCCCCATAGAAAAAAATCTAATGGATTTAGGTCCGGTGATCGGGCTGGCCATTCAATACTACCTCTTCGACCAATCCAATGATTAGGAAATTCAATGTTCAGTGTATCCCTTGCATCCCTAGCATAATGTGGAGGAGCTCCATCTTTTTGAAAATACTTGTTATCTCTATTGAAAATTGGGTTTCCATCTGGTGTTGCAGTTGTTTCTATTAAGTTGTTAATAGCTGGAATTATTTGTGTGATTAGCATGTTATTGTATGCTGTGCCATTTAAATTACCATTTATGATAAAAGGACCTATGATGAAGTTACCAATGATTCAAGCCCAAACGTTTAGCCTCTGCGGGTGTTGAGTGTGACTTTCTCGGTACCAGTGGGGGTTCTCTTGCGCTCAATACCTACAGTTATGCCGGTTAACGTGTCCGTTAAGTTGGAATGAAGCCTCGTCACTAAAAACTATTTCGAAAGTAGAGATTTCTCTAGATTCCAACTTCTGTGTCATTAATTCACAAAATTCAATTCTTCTATCAAAGTCATCTTCAGACAGTTCCTGGACTAACGTGATCTTATATGGATGGAATTTGTGGTTTTTTAAAACTTTGTTCACTGCCCACCTACTTATATTATGTTGTTGCGCAACTCTTCTTGCAGATTGCTGAGGATTAACAGAAAACTCTGCTAAAACTCCTGCTTCTGTTAATTCACCTGTGCTGGGCCGACCGGATCTGTGCTCATCCACAACACTCCCTGTACGATGAAACTTTTTTACTAGATTAGACACAGCTTTTCTAGTGATTTGATGTTCAGGATGCCTTTCGTTAAAGGCGTCAGTTGCTCCACTGTAAGTGCCAGTTTGCCCAAACAGTAAAACAATTTGCACTCTTTCTTCTAACGAAAAAACCATGACAAATTACAAACCAACATACAACAATCAAAAAGTAGCAATAGTGTAGGCCTGCAGTTTTGGTTATGTACGATATGGGCAGTTCTCAGTACTGTACTACTGAACTTTCACCTAGAGAAAGAATTCGACAAACAAACAAAAAAGGAAAATGGACAGGAATAACTGATAACAGCAATTATGGAGTTTGGGATTTTCCAGGCACTGTTTACTGACCACGCATCTTATTAGCAATGATCCGAAATAGAAAAAAATTTTGGCTGGTTACAAATTGAAAGTAAATTAAAATTAGCCTTTTTTACCACCAAATTGCAATTTTCTGATAAGGATGTCATTTATTAAAAGTATTTTTTAGCTGCCATTTCGTTATTATTTGGCCGATTTTAGTTTTCTTTACGTCGATTGTTTTGTTTTGTCAAGACCTATAAAACGATACCAAACTCGACTATACTTGCTATTTGAAAATTTTGAGCTACCCCCTACCCCCGCTACCCCTAAGGGTAAAATTTTCAAAATTTACCATAACTATTGTAGCCCCTCACATCTTAGAAGTTTGCCGCAAACAGATTTCAAATATCTCAAATGGTTGAAAAGTTAAGGGGGGGGGTGCAAGTTACTTTGCAGCCCTCCTCATGGTTCTGTAGATTTAAATTGTTTTAGGGCGCCATTTTGTTATTAGTAGGCCGATTTTAGTTTTCTTTACGTCGATTGTTTTGTTTCGTCAATACCTATAAAATGATACCAAACTCGACTATACTTGCCATTTGAAAATTTTGAGCTACCCCCTACCCCCGCTACCCCTAAGGGTAAAATTTTCAAAATTTACCATAACTATTGTAGCCCCTCACATCTTAGAAGTTTGCCGCAAACGGATTTCAAATATCTCAAATGGTTGAAAAGTTAAGGGGGGGTGGTAGTTACTTTTCAGCCACCCTGTATATTGTTTTACCTAACACTTAAAAAACTAGGAGTTATTTTTTGCCTGTTTTGATAACCAATGTTTTAATTTCCAGATTGTGTTGATGGACATGTCACAGAGGTTCCATTTAGACCACCTTCAGAAGGTACTTGACTGTGCTGTGAAGGGTTGTCGTGATGTGTTTGACATCTTGGACAGAGCTGTTCGTGAATACTTGACTGAGGTAAGTTTTATGACGTGCTAATGCTGGGTTGCCAATATGAGAGAATGTTGTAGCTTAAACCTTTGATTATGGATAAAACTAGAAGTTCCCCTGCTAACGTTTTAGCCAATTTTAGGACAGAAATTGATGTGTTAAGTCCTTAAAAGAGGGGTTTTTGAATTACGGTAATAGTTTTATAGATAGGCTAGACAATCTTTTCCTAAGATTTCAAATGGACTGGACTCAAGTTTTATTGGTACAATAAGTTTGTATTGATTGATTTTATAGCTTCTTACAAGCTACATTACTTAAAGAAGGGCTAGTATATTCAAGACCACATTTCACTATATATCTCTATAGTGACCTTATTCTGTTATATTTGTTAGCCTGACAAGTACATTTTACTCTTTCCTTTTATACTGTATTTCTTTTGTTCTTTGTCGTTGTCTATAGCAATGTAATGTTGACAAATGACAATAAATTGATTCTTATAGGCCTAATATTTCATGAAGAAATAAATTGTGCCTTTGAATAAAACTTTAAATTTTTCATTGCCAATGTAATTGAAGACAAATTTGACATGCAATTATAGTCGCTTGAGATCAGTTTTGGCTAGCGATCAAATTGTTCTCTTGATTAAGAATGGATTTGACATGTTACTGTATCATTTTTGTTTTAGTTAAATGATAATAAAATGATTAACAATTTCGTGTCCGGTCCAAATGTTTAAATTATTATAAATTCATTAAGTTATTATATATTTTAATTACTACAAATAGATAGATATTAGCACACTCTGGTGCTACCAGACAACAATCCACAAGCCAAAACTGGCTCTGATTTTTCTAAATTTACCAGATCTGTACTAGGGACAATGTAGTTTAACTTCTTACTGATACATGTAAATTATTAGTGCTGAATGATGTATGATATTTTTTCCGTTCCTTCCACAGGTTGGCAGTGCTGCATCATGGGGTACCATAGACATCGGGGCCCAGCGAATAATGGCAGATGTGCAAACTGAAGAAAATACGTAGATACTAGTTATAAATATTTTCTATATTTTTTTTGTAAATAAATTGTTTTCTTACAAGAAAATGGTTTTCAATGGTTGAATGCTTTACAAACATCATAAATCAACTTAATGATAATATATGCTAGGTTAAAGAATACCTTTGTATATAAGATTATTCTGATGATTCAAATGGACTAATCAGGTGAGGTTGTGGGCTCAAATGAATACCGCACTCATTCACTCAAACGTCAAATCAATGTTTTGTTTTAAATTTTATTGCAAATGTCATATAGCCTATAGCTCAATTACGCTCAATATAGAGTACTTAGAATAATTAAGTTTGTTTAAAGTAAAATTTCTTATTCATTAAATTCAAATTCACAATTAAAAAAAAATAGTTCTGTCTATTTTTGCACTGTTCTTCACCCAACTTATGAACACAAAATCCATTTTCGGTGAGATTTGGACCTTCAATCGACAATTTGTTCCTGACAACATCTTAGACTGTTCTGTCATTGATCAGACTTAAAAATCTATCATACTTACAACACTGGTAAACTTAAAGCCTAGCCTGTAGTAGCTCAATGCGAATACTTGACTTAGATTACCGCACTTATGTCAAGTACCGGTATAGATTACAGCTTATGATGAGTTATACTTGTTTAGCTTGTTGTAAGTGGAAGGTTTTAGTTATGTTACTTATGTGTCTGTTAATGTTTAACACAAAGAAAATAATTAATTCTAATTCTAAGAATTAAGAATTAATTTTGGGATTAATCCAAATTCCAGCTATTAGATCTCAAACGGTCGAAATCAGATTCAAATTCGCCAATACTACGTTGGCCAAATTTGTTATGTTTGCTAAAACAATTATTTTTTTAGAATAAAAGTCAATACCATCTCAGGATGAATAAAAAAGTGAATAACAGTTATAAAACTTGTATTTTTGTGTTTCTTAACAAAACCTTAAATTAACGAGTTGTAAGCTTGTACCATTTAAATTCAAAATACTTACACAACATATTTACAAGATATAATTTTTAACGCTCTCACTCACACATTTTGCTATGTCGAAAGTTGCAAACTCTATTTCAAATTAACTCCGCTCTTTTTTAAGAAAATAATCAAGTTGAAATTTTACAATAGGCTGCTTAATTATAATTTTTTAAATATACCGAGACGATATATCAGGGGTTCTAATGTACTCACATTATGTGGTACTTTTATAGTTTTGAGCTTTGTGATAAGTATTGCATATTGATACAGAGTTAAATGTGCAATAACTTGAGGAAATAAAAACAATTGACAATTGGAGCAACCCGTTTCAAAAATGAAACTTAAAAATTTCCTCTTATACTGTATATTTCTTGATTTATAATTAGCTAATTGCATTTTTTCATAAAAAATAAACCTTACACCTTTATAATCCTTAACTTCCAACAAATGAAAGCAATGTTATTAAGATTGATAACAACTGTAAACAAAATAATAAATTACCTTTACTAAATCATTTACACCAATATAACTTACTGAACACATAACTTGTAAAAATTGACAATACTTCACATGTACACAATTCGATATAAAACTTTCCCTCGTCGAAATATAAAACAATGTATTACTGCTAACAAGACACCACATTTCCCATTCATTTTCTCTGTCAGTGACCTCGCTTCATCCGTCGTTCCATCTTGCGCTGTTTCTTCTCGTCTATTTCCTGGGGAGGAGCTTGTTGAAAGAAGTAAGGGGACAGAATGTTGGCCCACGCCAAATGTATCGCTCGTCCTGGTGCCTAGTTATCAGAAGCTTTTTAGTTAGAGTAATATGAAATTGTAAATTTTATTTTTTATTTTTAATAGGTCTACAAAACTTTGAAGGTACTTTATCATACTGTATGTAATAAATTACAATGTTTTGTAACCAAATCAATCAATATTCAATATTGTATTGTATTTATATATTTCGACTCGATTGGAGGGCTTTATGAGCCGAACACTTGAAGAACTTGATTAAAAGATATAACTACTTACAGCCAGCCACAGAAGCCAAAAGTAGTTTGATAGTAATGATAGAACTTGCACTGCAGACGTAAGAATGATGAGGTCCTTAACATGCCTGCAAAAAAAAAAAAAACTGAAATTAATCAGACTTCACCAAATGAACTGCCTACTTTAAAATATAGTCTTGAAATCTTAGCATCAAAAGTTTTTCAAAAGTGAATAGCAGAAATAGATGGGAAGGAGAATTAATTTTTTCAAAGCCCTACGGGACACAGAAAATTGCAGAGTAAGAGCTTAAGAAACCTTAAAGTTCTGCACAAGAGAAAATTGATAAATTTCTACTCGAGCGAGATTTAGTTGCTTTTAAGGAAATGTATTTTTAAGAATTTATCTACTGCAGAGTATTGATTATTTTATCTTCGGTTATCCAACACTCCATAGACGTAGGCCTATGAGTACCAAGAAATCTTATGCTATTTCTGTGTGGCATAACTGTAGGCTACACCATTCACTGTTGAAACAACCCGCTCTCTGCCCCCGTCTGTACTCAGAAGATCTTTAGTGCCACTTGGCAATTTATGGATCTTTTTAACAAGCTACATAGGCCTGCCACACTGTTTGACAGCTCCCCATGAAACCTGTGGTCAAAAGTACCTATCTATCCATATATTAATAGGCAAGCATGTTTCTTAAAAACCTTTTTCTTGGCTCGTGCGCATGGCAGGGAAAATCTACGCACACTTGGTTGGAAAGATATTTTAATGTAGATGTGCAGAATCCTTTTATGAATTAAATTAGGCTCAAAAATAATATAAAAAAATAAAAATTAAAACAAATTAACCTGGGCCTTATGGGTTGCCATGCTGGTAACAAAATAACAATGAAATATAAACAAAAAATCAAAACAAATGGAAGAAGTTCAAATCACATGTTTTATTTACAGTGTCAGGTGAAAATAGATAACTACGTACTTTAATATTTTTGATAGAGTTTTTGACCACTGAAGGACCTCTAGTTTACCTTATTTTATACAGTAAAATCAGTGGCAATTCATTTTAGTCCCTATTAATGTAATGGTTTTTTTCAAACGTTTACAATGTGTTTTTTCTACAATCTCTGTTATGGCACCTTGTTGCAGCCGGTTTAGGTAGGATAATATATAGAGACTGTATTGTAATTTGCCTCGATGTCACCTACGTTTGACAAAAGATAACAACCCAGTGCTTGCCCTCAAGATGTTTAATGCTCTGCCTCAACCAGTCAAGATCCTTCCTATCCTATTAGGCAGTTTAAAACAAGACTCAAGAAAAATAACCTTTCTGTCGAAGAATATTTTAAGAAATCCTTCACCAACTTATGAGAGCTCCTTACAGAAGGTCAACAGAAAAAGGTTACTATATTTTGTTAAATAAACTTCAAATGTAAATAGTGTAAATATATGCATGTGAAAATTTAATTGACACAATTGTCCAGAGATGGGCTACAATAAAGGATTGGGTGATGGTATAGGCTAACTAATTCCATTGTAAATTTATATAATGAACTTAATTAATATAATCTTTGTAAAAGATTTTTTGACTATGCTACCCCTTTAAATTACAGTTGAGTTTAAATTATTCGACCTCTGGTTATCTAATCTTTTATGTCATCAAATCCTTCATATGGACAATTCAGTACTTTGAGATTGTAGGCTAATAATTGAAAAAGAAATTTTATGTTTTAATTTTTCCAAGACCTAAACTTATTAGCTCCTAAAAAGATAAATTTGAGTGAAAAAATGGAACTAGCTTACTCAGAAAGTCCTCCCTCCATATTGAGATCCACTCCTGAGTCTATAAGTTGTCCACCATCCGTATACTTGGCCACTGATATGTAAGCCATGAACTGGTAACACGCGACATATGTTGCGGAGGCTATCAGCAACATCAACTAGAAATACAAGTTATGATGGAATAAGTTTATGTTTGTAAAAGTTTCACGTTCGCTACCGCAATAGTACAAAATTTTTCATTCATATAGAGCAGCGACGCACATATGCGACGACCGGTTTCTACCATAGACTGGTCACATTAAAATAGACTGACGACGCATATTTGCGTTGGTGTTCCAATGTTGACAAAATGCTTATATCTTAAACGGTCTATTTGAAGGCACTGAATTCTCTGCAGTAGTCTACAGGGATGTCTGACGCACAACTGTGTCGCTTGGTCTGTGGATATGATGATTGGTAACGTCATGTGATAATTAAATTTGAAAAACTGTTCTTTACTTTGCTGCATCACTGTATATGTATGCAGTATGTATGCTGCATTATTCTATGTAGCTTTTATATTTGTTCAATTATAAACTGTTCTTGAATAATCTGTTTTTTTTTACTTACTTTCACCTCAAAACATAAACAAAAATGAACTGTCACATATATGCGGCGTTTGGGCTAATTCAAGAAAATATAATAATTTTAATTTTCAATATTGTCTTCGCTATAGACTGTGCGTCGCAAATATGCAACATTACAAAAGGTTATCAAAAATATAAAAAAAACAAGAATATATTATTTACAAACACGATTGCAGCGTATCAAAAAGTAAATGATCACTGTTTAACAGATTTTCACCCGTGGTCTGCGTGAACTGATAACCAAGTGACAGCAGGTCTACGTAATAGATTAATTTGGATACCTCGGTAGCGAACGTGTTAATGTAGGCTGCTTGTGTATTGTTTATCTAAGGTAAATGATACATTAATGAAAGAACGACTCAATATAATTTGCATTAACTCTGTCAACTACATGAACTATTTAGCGATACATGAATTTTCATCTTACATAACTTCTAATTTCTAATCTGAAGGTACAATTTCGAGCTATCGAATTTTTCAGGTTAGCAAGGTTCGAGTTATCAAGGTGTAATACCGAAAAATGGAGATACTGTGGGGTTGAATTCTGGCAATGATGTTACGTCACGACCATATCTAGACATTTTTCAAAGGTTTATTGCGGACATTTTCCATCGCAATGGTAAAAAACAATACACAACGTTTCAGGATCTGGAATCTGATCCCGTCCTCAGGTGAGAAAACATAACTAGAATTTACACACTAAACCTTTACAACTTGCTCAGGCTCAATTTATTTCTACATACCGCTACTGAAGAGTTAACTATAGAAGCAAGAGTCTTTATAAATATATTAGATACCTAATAAATTATGATTGACCCACTTTATTCCCTTTGTCTACTGTTATTAGGCCTATCATTATACATAGTTATACAGTAATTTAAATTTTATTATTGACTTTGTAGAATTTAGAAGGAAAATACAACTCACAATATTAAACCAAGTAAAACAGTCATTTAATACTGTTAGCGCTAAGGCATAGTAGATACCATTGGCAATTAATGCCATTTGTAAATAAAATTTCAGAGTTTCTGAATTTTCTTCAACAATCTGTTTTTGTCCCTTGGTCCCTTGTTTTCCTTTTTGGGGCTGAAACAGATAAAAGTAAATGGTTAAATTATTGACGTTTCAGAAACAATAGTTCAACACACTTCACAACAAAAGGTTTTCCTTTTTAGCAGTAAATGTTCCAATAGCCTAAATTAGTAAATTATATTAAGCTTACCTCACCATTGTTATAATGGACTTTCGAGTCTAAAAGTTCCAAATAATTTCAGAATGTCAGTGGGACTGTATGTATAAAGCCTAAAGAAGAGCATAGATAGGTCAACTATCGATGTTTACAATCAATTATTGATGTTAACAACCATCGATGTACAAATAACATTGTTGCAAAAACATCAATGTTTTCTTCATTATTACTTTGAGTTTTTCATCTGTTTTCTGTCTCAACCTAGGCCTACTAACTTAGCTAGTTCTGAATTGGTGGTTTCTCTTTCGCATATGCAAGACAAAATATTGGTCTTAATAGATTATGCTAGAGCAGGAGTGCTGCTAAAATTTATTAGGTAGGCTACACATACACACAAATGAAGTTAGTAGAAAAACATTGGCTTTAAATAGGATGCTCATCCCTAATAAAGGCTCCGTCCACCAGGCGATTTGTTTGATTGGATTATATTTGATAACAAAGTTATAGTGGCGTCCCCATTTTAAATAATTGATATATGCATAATGCAAATGTTATTAATTATAAATCCCTATTGCTATTCATTGTTGTAGTTAGGTTATGTTTGTTTTTATATTCTCTGTAGCTTATACTAATGTTACTTTGACATTGAAAGTATAATTATAATCAAAAGTAGGTAGACTACTTCTAGTCATAAATTAATTCAACTAAAATACTGATAACTGTTGGTTTAATATTTTGTTAAAGTTGACGATATATGGGAGTCAAGCTGTTTAGAAGCTAGTAGGGCCTACTTCAACATTTCTTTATTTTAAGGTTAACATGACTTATGAGTAAACTTACCGCCATGATATTGAATATTGTTAGGTAGCGTTGGTACACTTAAATATTTTATACCAAATTATTATTTTTAATTCAGGCTTTTTTCCTTGAAAGAACAGTACAATTGTGTTATTAATAACTTAAGACTATTCAATGTAAAAACCACTCGAGCCGAGCTGTCGTCTGCAGAACAGAACAGAAATTCAGAAATGACAAGACAAGGCAACAGAAACGAAACGAAACGACAGAGACAGGTTGTTTGTTTCAAAAACTTCATGCCAACCCAAGGCGTATGAAAGACGCCTTGATGCCAACCAACTTTCACAGTGGCACGACAATGCCTCGTTGTAGCCATAGAGGTATAAACACTTGTAGAGATTTACAATTAATAAATTTTAATTGTACATTTAATTGACATTTAATTTTTTGTCCCGGAACTCTCTACCAATATTTTAGGGCATTGTTCCTGGGTAGTTAACATACCTAAATATCATATTTAAATTGTCCGGAAGTCCTTAGTTACTCACACAGCCGCCATTTCGTTTTTTTAAGTTATTAATTTTTTTCTAAGGAATGGTTAAACATACGAAATTGAAACTTTGCACAAACATTTATGACAACTAGACAAAGCTACCAAAAAATTGTGACGATTTTTAAAATTCATAAAACAAAATGGCGGCCATTTAAAATTGTGTTTCTTAAATAACTCGAAAACCATTGATTTTACAAAAATTTTACAAAATTAACTTTTTTAAGGAACTTTTATTACAAATCGATTGACACCTTAATTTTGAAGATTGGACAAGTATTAACTGAGATATGGTAGTTTTAGTGATACGTGACCGCTTTCAGCATGCGCTGCAACTAACCTCCAGCGGTTACGTATCACTAAAACTACCATATCTCAGTTAATACTTGTCCAATCTTCAAAATTAAGGTGTCAATCGATTTGTAATAAAAGTTCCTTAAAAAAGTTAATTTTGTAAAATTTTTGTAAAATCAATGGTTTTCGAGTTATTTAAGAAACAAAATTTTAAATGGCCGCTTTCAGCATGCGCTGCAACTAACCTCCAGCGGTTACGTATCACTAAAACTACCATATCTCAGTTAATACTTGTCCAATCTTCAAAATTAAGGTGTCAATCGATTTGTAATAAAAGTTCCTTAAAAAAGTTAATTTTGTAAAATTTTTGTAAAATCAATGGTTTTCGAGTTATTTAAGAAACAAAATTTTAAATGGCCGCCATTTTGTTTTATGAATTTTAAAAATCGTCATAATTTTTTGGTAGCTTTGTCTAGTTGTCATAAATGTTTGTGCAAAGTTTCAATTTCGTATGTTTAACCATTCCTTAGAAAAAAATTAATAACTTAAAAAAACAAAATGGCGGCTGTGTGAGTAACTAAGGACTTCCGGACAATTTAAATATGATATTTAGGTATGTTAACTACCCAGGAACAATGCCCTAAAATATTGGTAGAGAGTTCCGGGACACCCTTTATATTTTATATTATGTGCTCGTTGATATATACACAGAACCTCTCATCTTTTAGTGATGGTAAAATCAAATACTGAACGTCATTCTTTAAGAGACATTTCCATCACAATAGCATTACACTTTTCAATCTACTTCCTCCCTCCCTTCAGCTGGAGCCGGACTTGGTCCGCTTCAAAAGGAGAGTAAAAAAAATACTCCTGAGTTGCTACAGTGTCCGTTAATGTGTCACTGATGGGTGTAATTAAGTTTGAAGAAGCTTGTCACTCGTAAATTTAGTTGGATTGAAGCACAGTTGTTTTATTTTAATATTAGACGTAAAGATATATTTTGTTCAAAATGACTAATGCAAATCTGTATTTGTTACTTTCGTTGAATAAACGAGTTATTGAGTTAAAGAATCAAATGCAGTGTATTCGTAGAGTGCCCTGTATTCGAGATTCGAATACTTGTATTCGAAAACCTTTCTGTTTGACAATACTTGGCTTGGTGGAGCGTTTGGAGCGTTACATGTCTAGACTAGTTTACCTCCTACTCCTTAAATTCAGTTAATTTCCTTCCTTTCTTGGCCTTTCTTGTGTCCTTTATTGTAAACTGTTAAGGTTGATTCACACCCTTAACCAACTTCCCTATGTTGGAATGGTGGGAATTCAACCCCTTTGGCAGTAAATCATGGTGTTCCTCAAGGCTCCATATTGGGCCCTTTCTTGTTTTTGGCGGCCATTAATGATCTCTACTATGAAGTGTCAGGTAATGTTATTATTTATGCGGACGACACTACCTTTGTTTGCCAAAGATCCTGACTTGAAGCTCTCAAAAACCACAGTTGAGGGTTTTCTTTCTACTGCTACTGCCTGGTTCAATGTTAACAAATTGATCCTCAATGAATCCAAGACTCAGGCAATCACCTTTAGCCTGGGAAAGTCTGCTGAGTGCACTGACCACGTAAAGCTGCTGGGCTTTACTCTGGACCCTCACCTTGACTGGGGAGATCATGAGTCGCTGTGCGGTAGGCTTAAACAGGGTTATATTTTTATTGAGAAGACTGAGTTTCTACCTGCCAAAACATTTCATTCGTGTTGCTTACTTTGCTTTTTTCCACTCTATTGTTGTCTCCGGAACTAGACTCTGGGGGTCACTCGCCTAAAGTCGACAAAATTCTGGTTCTGCAAAAGAAAGCGATGAGGGTACTTAGTAGAGCCCAGGATCTCGCGCACTCCAAACCACTGTTTCTCCAAAACAAATTCATGACTGTATATAATGTATATATTTTTCAATGTCTCATAGACATCAAGTCCAATGAAATATACCTACCTAGAAATCAGCATGTACATAGCCATAACACTAGGAATATGTTTGATTTTCAATGTAAGGCACCACAGACTGAGTAAATCAATTAATTGTTTTCCTGTTACAGGTTGTAAATTTTTCAATCATTTGCCTCTTGAAGTAAGGCAAATGGCTTTACCAAAATTCAAAGCATTTTTAAGTAATTTGCTCATATATTAAACGCCTTTCTATACTCTAGTGAGTTCCTTAAGACAGAGGTCCACCTGTAATTAGGTAATGCAAGCATGGCATTGTGCTTTTATTAACTGCATTTTAATTTTTTCCCCAAATGTGCATGGTTTTAATCTGATTTATTTAACTTTTTATTTTGTCTGCTGTTGGACTGAAAATAAGCATGGTTTTATTTTATTGTTAACCAATCTGATGATGTATTTTTATTTAATTGAATTATTTATTGACATATCCTATTATTTATAATGTTTAATGGCCAAATAAACAATTTGAAGTTGAATTTGACACATACCAGTCCAGTCACAGTTCAGTCTCAGTCGCAAGTAATTTTGTTTCAGTCACTCTTCCGCCACTTTATTTACAGTGTTGTTACTTGTTACAGTCAAAAACGTTTGATTAAAACACAATATTCTATCAAATTTTTATTGTCCGTCTGGGTTATTGTTACAATAATTCCTTAAAATATAAACTCGATCATTTAAATAAAAGTAATAAAAATTATTACCGAATAAAAAAGTACTATTTCCTAACCTCAAACACGTCCGTCAGGCGTCCCAACAATCAGAAAAATATCAATGAAAAGAAATCTAGAAACGAAATTGACTTTTCGACGTGTCGTAATTGATGTGTGTGAATCGACCTTTAAGCATATTATTTAATATGGTTCTTTTTTTAACAAAAAAATGGCTACAGCTGATCTATATAGATGGAACGTCTGGTTCTGGTATCCAATAGACAATGCTAACACCCACGATTACTAGAAAGATACCGGTATGGATCATAAACATAAACAAATGACGTTTTTGGCCCGAAAATAAACATAATTTAACATTGCTTAAATGGAACAGCCAATTAAAACATATGTTCAATGCTATTAGTATAGGCATAGACTAACCGGGTATGTTTTATCTATGGTATAGGATTCGCGCCAACAACTTCATTTGTTTATGTTTATGATGTTTATGATCCATACCGGTATTTTTCAGTATTCGTGCTAACACCCAGTGTCACCGAACATGTAGAGATCGATGACATGAACTACCCAGATAGCATGCACGCTTTCTGTAAACATGCGTTTGGTGTGTTTTTCGTTCGTTATTGAAAGTATGCATTGGAAGTTTGGCAAAAACTTGTTTTTGCTTCCCGTGAAAGTCATCTGAAGCTTATTTGCTGTAAGTTTGCGGTAACGTTGCCTGTTGCCGCCTAGCGCTACGACCAGTTGCGGGATAAAAGTGAAACGCTTCAAGTAGTTCACGATGGCTCCGCACCTGTTCGTGTAGCGCTATGCGGCAACAGGCATCGTTTCGGCAAACCTGTGGCAAATAAACTCCAGAAGACTTTCACGGGAAACAAAAAACGTGTTTACGCCAAACTTCCAATGCATATTTTCAATAACGAACGAAAAACCCACCAAACGCATGGATGCCGACGGGGATTTTTCTTTTATTTAACGGCTGCCTTTTGTGGAGAGACTAACCATCATTACTGACAGTCGACTTTATTAGGCGCAGGATAGGAACAACTTTGGATATACTCATCGTTAAATGATTGTTTTATTTTAGAAGTGAAAACATTGTAAAAAAAATAGAATAAACAAATTCTGAATCATGTTTTGTATTTGGATCTTTACTATTTTACTTTCAAATGTATTGAACAAATAGTAAGACAATAGTATTATATATACACTCCAATTAAATTAACTGTAGTTAATTTATATAATAAGTTATGGGACGTATTTTTTTATGTTCGCCACTGAAAAGTGAAGGAAAAATTAGCGCTGCTTTTTTCAATAACTCTCTTAATTATTCCTTACAAGTAAATTGAATATCCACTATTATTGTTACAAAGACTTTTTCAAACTTGGAAGGGTTTCGTGGTTAGCAGAGCACGAACGATTAATTTCTCGGATTCACAGAATCTGGGAGAAACCCCTTTCCTGCCAAGGCTCCTAACGTCATTCTAAGAATGGACTGTGTATTGAGGTCACAGAGGGAACAATGCGCGCCCGTCCTTGTAGTACGGGAAGTAGGCAACCCACCCCAAAATCGCCAATAATAGGGCCCACTTTCCTTATTCGTAATGTAACTAAGGTTATAACAAAATATATTTAATTTGTGTTATCATTTCGATGTGACCCGTTGCCCTTGCAACGTTTTTTTTTTTACTTATTTAAATAATT